CAAAAACGCGCATTACCAGTCACCCCATGGGGAGCTGATGAGAGCGGAAAGGCTCAAATCGCCTTAAACCCATTAGCTGGTTTACAAGATTCCGAAATGGCTTAATTAAGCTCTAAACCAATCAAAACCGCCGACTTGTCATTGGTCTGTTTAAATTGCCCGGCGAAGTATCGATTGGTTAGAGTTCAGTTTTATGTTAGGACATTAAAATGTGATATCTAAATCCATTGAAAAGGTGCATTTTCGAGATACTCGTTCCGGTCGTAGCATTGGATTTGAAAACCACCAGTTCAATCCTCTTTTGCGCGACGTTTCGTGTCAGCCAGCCAGTAAATAGGCTGGTGTGCGTGTGTGAGTGGTCAGTGAACTGTTGTGCGTCATCATTCCTGGTCAGGTTCTCACGAATACCAAAACAGTCGATGTCGACGACCCTCTTCAACGACAACATCCACCCTAACGAAGCGACTTCGAAAAATGCGACCTCGTTGTCGTTATGTAGTCCTCATGTTCGGTGCAGCAGCTCAGACCCTCGATTTGGAAGTTCTGCCGCACCCTCCATCTTCGCCAGAGTTGACCTCACCAGATTTTCACCAATTTTGAACACTTGGTTAGGAGAGGCGTGAGGTCCGGTGCTACACTGACTCACGATTTACCACAAAAAACACCGGAAAACTGACTGACCCTTTGGTAACAAAGTGACTCAACAACACTGTTGACCAACTTTGATCACGTTATCAACTGACATCAAGGTGGCTGTGATGGACGGAGAGAGAATGCAAAGACGTACCGGAGTCACTGGCGTGTCCGTTCGAGAGTAGGGCGCAGCTCTGCTCCAGCATGGAGGAGAATTTGTCTAAAACAGGAGGCAGAAATTGAGGGCAATCCGAGTGGTCACGTGACCCACACGTGTTCCACGACAGCTGAGGCTCTAATTACCAACGCTCCCTAATTACACCGTCAAGTTAGCTAGTGAGGTTGACAGAGTGGAAGGCAGTGACGACTTTGGAACCGTGGAAATTTGTGGGGGCGCATATTTCTCACACGCACACACACACGCACGCACACAAACACGACACCCTACCGATGACCTTGATGTTGAATTCGGCGGCGTTGTGGCCGAACCCGTTGACTGCACTGCAGATGTACTTGCCGGAGACCGCAAGACTCTCCGCTTTGAGGGAGTACACCTGGTCCTCGGAGAGGATCCACGACGTCTGTGTGGCAGGGGTCCACTTGTAGAAGGGTGCTGTGTAGGGACAGGTGA